GGAAGATGGTGGTTCTTGATCTATTTGCTGACGTTAAACCTGTATGGGAAACATCGTCTCAATTCTATGGCACTCCTTATGTCTGGTAAATAAACTAATTTCAGTGGGCAAGTCGTTATCATCAATAAATCGTAGTAAGACTTGTACGTTTGTTACCAGGTGCATGCTTCACAACTTTGGTGGAAATATTGAGATGTATGGTGTACTAGACTCTATATCTTCAGGGCCAGTTGATGCTCGAACTAGTGAAAATTCAACCATGGTACAATGTGCTAGGCTCACATACATTCAGCTCTATGGATCAAGAACTGAAGTTTTCATGTGTTCTGATATTTTTATCCCTCGTTGATGTTTCATTTAGGTAGGTGTTGGTATGTGCATGGAAGGTATTGAGCACAATCCAGTTGTCTATGAGCTCATGTCTGAGATGGCCTATCGAAATGAAAAACTTCAACTTGTGGTAGGTAATAGATGTGATTATATGATTGATATGTACTAGCAGATAAAGTTGGGTGCATATGAATACCTATTACAGGATTGAATATAAATTGTATAGAACCTATATTTGACGATAATTGAAATCCGAAAGTTCAATCAGTGTTAGTTCTCTTGTTTTTTTTTTTCCTTCTGAAGAAACTTTAACTTTTACTCCCCAAGTCTCAATATAATACCCATGTTTGACATGTGAGATATCATACAGTTAACCCTGGTGTGGAAACTTCTTACCACATACAAGTTCTACATTGAAGAATTCTAGCATAAATAACTAGCACTAGAGGACAAAACTTACTAACTTTAGAAATCCATAAATGGAATCCATGATCATTTTTCTCCGGTTTTTTCATCATATACCCCCAAGTTTTTTGTTTTTCTCTAGACTTTTTCAAATACACCATACATCCTCGAGTTTTCTAAAAAATGTACCAAATACCATTAATGACTAACAAATGTTAGCTAGTCTTTAGAGTTAATTATGCCCCAAAACCACCATTGTTCCCTTCACCCACCCCCGAAACCAACTATTCTCTCTTCCCCTACCCTCGAAACCACCTTAGATCTCCTTTCCCAACCCCCAAAACCAATCATATGGACATGATTCTAGAGATTTGGGATAGTTTTAGGGGTTGGGGAAGGGAGGGGTGTGGTTTCGGTGGTAAGGAAAGGGATCTGGGGTGGTTTGTGGCATAATTAACTATACTCCACTCATCTTGAAGTTATTAAGGATATATAGTGCATTTTTGTGAAAACTCATGGGTAGATGGTGTATTTAAAAAAGTCCAGAGGTATATAGTGGATAAATTGAATACTCGGGGGTATATGGTGTAAAAAACTCTTTTTTTTTTTTTTTCTTGTCTTTCCTGTTCCCATCAGCTCATCTCGGTAAACACCCTGGGTGGTTGATAACAGAGCTATCTATGGACCATTTTTGTGAGTATGGTATAATATCAATTTAACTAACAAGTGCATCCTGTTGTCACTGTCGTCCATCTCACCAGGACATTGTCAAATATTCCAAAATTGTTTTTCTACTGATTGTTTAATACTTATTGTCAGTCCTCAATTTTAATGCCTATAGCCCTAGATTATCTTGTTAGCAGGATGTTAAAAATTATGAAACTTGACCAGTTGGGTTTCTGTTTTGCTTCCGATTTTTACTTTTTATTGTTGTCCTTGATTTTGAATTGATGTCCTTTTGCGTAACCATCAGATCTCAGGACCTTCCCCCATCAGAGATTTTCTGAATTTACTAAAATATTGTATGTAGTAGTTATTAAAAAATTAGATAATGGATTGTCTCTTTATTTATTTTTAATTTTAGTTCTTTTACTATGTTTCTTTACACAGGACTGGATCAAAACTTATTCACGTAGGCGCTATGGTAAAGCTATTCATCAGCTAGAGACAGCCTGGGAAATCCTTTATCACACCATTTACAACTGTACAGATGGAATTGCAGTAAGTTCTGTGACTTCTGTCTAGCTGATAGTATACCTGTATATGTGCCTTTTTTTCCTATTGATGTATGTTGCTTCCTTACGCATCCTCATACATCAATGACAGTTATCAATCCTTTTAAAGTTGGGTCTTTCTCTCCTGCTGTATTATCATGTTTTTGTTCATAAAAAAATTGTTACTTTGACAAAGGGGAGTGGCCTCCAACAGAATTTTGAGGGACTGTACCTGTAGGTCGTAGCTGGACATTTTAATTGAAAGATTTGACAGTTTACAAATAGCAGATTCAATACAAGGGCAAAAACTAATGTGAAAATTAGATGACACGTTTTTGACTTTTGACACTATTCACAATCTCTAGTTTGACTAACTCTGAAGGAATCCTCCTCTTGTGTATTTTCAATATATCAACTTTTTTATAATTTTAACTTGTTGAATTTGAGATATTTACGGTTGAATTTATGCATTGGGAAACGTGATAAAAGAAATGTGTCATCTAATTTGAAACAAAATTTGTAAAAGGGCAAAACTACTACTGATACAATTTGCCGTGTATAATTCTTTGTCCATGGAGCTGAAAGAGTCATTACTGAAATTATTTTAATATTGGATTGAAATTGGAACAACCTTTTTGTACTTGTAGAAAGGTATAGACTGCACATGTCTTATAACTCTTAGGCCCTTACCTTGCTTAGGCAAGAGTCTCATTTGAGGAACTCGGTATTCATTATCATTCAATATTTTATCTTTTATGGTAATTCATTTCCCAAAAAAAAAATAAGAGATAGAAATAACTCTCAAGTATATATTTAAAAATGTTTAGATCAAATAAAATTAACCTTTAATCTAATATGATACTAGTATATTGATAAGCAGTGTATGAGATGAATTCAAACTCATTTTTACTTATTTATTCCGTGTTTGTTGATTTATTTTTTTTCTTTTTTGCAGGACCACAACAAGGATTATATTGTTGAGTTTCCAGACTGGGATCCTGTAAACAATACGGCACTGGGTGGAACAGGAAATTATCAGAATCACAATAGTTTCAACTCACACAGAAGCATGAGGCATATTTTTCTTAAGTCGGGGCCTACTCTGCCATCACCGCATTTGTGGTATCCAACTGAGGAAGTCATCAAGGCTTTACGTCTATTTCTTGATGCTGGGAAAGATCTTGTTGGAAGCTCTACTTATAGGTATATTATCTTTTGTTCTTTTTTTTTTTTTGGGGGGGGGGGGGGGGGTGTGTGTGTGTGTGTTCTGCAACTTGTTCCTGGATTTCCAAGATGAAAATACCTTTGTTGCAGATGGAAGGTACAAAACAGCTTAATGTAGCATATTATGTTTGGTATCTATCTGCTAAATGCCACGGGTTAAATCATCTACTAGATATATTATAGTATAAACCTGCTAATCGTGGAAGTTGAAAATTAAATTATATTTTTTTCATAGAAAGTTATTTGGCAACATAAGATACTCTTTCCCCATCAAAGCAAGGTGTATAGAATATTGCTTGCAAATTTCATTACATTTTAGACACATTTCCAAAATCATAGGAATACTTTCTTCAGTGATATCTTTGAATCTAAATGTGGCTAAATTACATGTGGAGTACTGGAGTTGGTCCCATAGCTCTACTACATGCATATAAATTTGCCTTTATTGTGGCAGGTATGATTTGGTTGATTTGACTCGTCAAGCACTTTCAAAGCTAGCAAATGATGCATATCTGAAAGCTGTGACTGCTTTTCAGCACAAAGATTTGAAAGCGTTAGATTTACACAGCCAGAAGTTCATTCACCTCATCAAAGACATTGACACAGTTCTTGCTTCTGATGAAAGTTTTCTTCTAGGGACTTGGCTAGATAGTGCTAAAAGGTTGGCTTTAAATCCGAAGGAGATGAGGCAGGTCAGAAGTGGTTTTATCTGGTTTTTGTGCTTATTCACATTTTTTTGATAACCAAGATCTCTTACTGTAATGATATCAATGCAAATTCACTTTTACCTCAGTATGAATGGAATGCGAGGACTCAAATTACAATGTGGTTCGATACGACAGAAACCAATCAGAGCAAGCTTCATGATTATGGTAAACTTGTGTTCCTAGTATCCCCACTCCCCGCCCCCCCCCCCCCCCCCTTCCCTCCCCCTCTCCCTTCTTTCCCTTTTGATTCAGTTGTTAGTTTATCCTGGAGGACACAATTCCTTTGAGGCTGGGGAAGGAGGCTGGAGAACCCAACCTGCCAGAAGCTCCAGCCCAAAGGCTCAATCCCCATCAACCTCTAGGTTGGGGTGTGACCTTAAAGGATGAGCGAATTGTGCTCCCGCATTACTCTTCTACAGTTCTACTAGATATTGTATGTTTAATATTGACTGCTTGGTGCGGGCTGTTATTCACCTCTTCTCCAACTGCTCTGTTCAGCAAACAAATTCTGGAGTGGGCTGCTGGAAGACTACTATCTTCCTCGTGCAACAACCTATTTCAATCATCTCAGGAAAGCCTTGCAAGATAATGAGGTCTTCAAGATTGATGTATGGAATAGAGAGTGGATATCCTACTCAAATAAATGGCAATCTGACACGAAGATATATCCTGTAAAACGTCGAGGTGATGCACTTTCTATAGCATCTAGGATGTATGAAAAGTACTTCAGCTAGGACTTCGGTATTGGCTGTAATGTAAATGTAATTTGCATGGCAAAAATAATCCATCATTTCCATTTGATGTATGGAAGTAAGAGAACAGAGTGTAATGTAAGTTCTTCAAAACTGTTTGATGTTTTTGGATTTATGAATAATCAATAAAGATTGTAACATTACATTTGCAATAAAGTACTCCGTATAGTCTTTCCCATTTGGAAACTACTATTTCACCCTTGAATGAGAATTTTGAATTAGATTTACTAAGGCGGAGAAACAAAATGAGATAATGTTCACATTTGTCTACATAATTGATGGTTTTGGCTCGAAATACAAAATGAGATGGATGTTGCAACCAAATACAAGTTCGATGTAAATGCAGTGGATATACCGATGGGACAATGGTGAGGAGGTCCATTGATTTATTTGGTTTTTTAAACAAATAACAATAAATTAGAATGCCAATGTAATTTTTGTCTTAACAATATTAATCTTAAAGAGTTCAAACAACAAGAAAGTTACTATCGGATAACCACGTACATAATCCAAAACTACTAAACTCTACCCAAAATCCGCTTCATCACTTTAATCAATATCTTTTCTCCTATTTAGGTATCACCAAATCTGAATCATATACTATTTGACTTGTCAAATTAGACTTTCCATAATTATACATCAACTACGCCAGCCAATGCGCGCAGCTCCCCCACCTGTGTCACTGTTATTTAGTTTTAGGCTTTTAGTTATATGGGACAAACCACATTGTGGACTCGTATGCCCCGTGCTGGCCGTGCACCTGAGCCTGCCCTGCTGTTCATCTTGGCCGGTGCACCACTTATATCCAACTAATTGTTCACCAGTGACTGATCCATTTAGTCATAAGATGGCTTCTGGCATTCCTAGGTTACTGCCGAGGAAGATTTGCCTAGGTAGCTCGTATTTATGAAGGTTTGATACTTTCTCAGCTTGAGGTAATGTCAGTGATCCTGTTAATGCAAGCAAGGGTTCCAATAGAAAAGGTTGGCTACTGTCGGTTTTTCTTCCCTTTTCTGTCATCATTTCTTCCAACAAAGCGTTTGCACTGTCAATACCTGATTATATATGTTTTAATTAGACACCCACATTATAGAATGCTGCATCAATAGGATCATGATATCAAATTTAACAGCATTTACCTGCGAGATATCCTCCATGAACGTAGCCGTTAAACCTCTCACTTGTATGCTCTCCTGAGAAAAAGATGCGTCCTACTGGATCCTGAGCCAAAAAAAACAGTGAATAAGCTAATTTGCTCAACAGTTACATGACAAATCGTGAATCAAAGGAGATAGCATTCGTTATGTTCAATTATAATGTCACCTTAAGAAGGCTTAATGCAGAATACAACAGGAAGTGCAGTCAATCTGTCCATGAGAATTCAAGTACCTTAAGGTCTCGTGCAACCTTATTGTTGGAAATAATGGGGTAGTTGCTATAGCTGCCCCTCTGAAAACGGTTATTCCACCAGCGGGGGACAAGTATGTCTGTAGCATCTGGTATGTCAGGGCCGAACATATCTTTCAGAACTTCCATGGCTTCTCTGAGAGTCTCTTGGTTGGATTGAGCCTCAACACGTTTAGACTCGTCATTTGTTAATGTTACAACAAGTATATTAGATCCTGGATAGGCATTATCCATGTGCTGTTGACAAGGCAATAATACATAAGCAACTAGCTCAGGTCAGATTTGAAAAGACTCAGAACATTTGAAACAGATAAACTATAATGAGCAAAGAATAGTCAGAATCTTGGTGTTTTATCATGCAGCAATAAACTTCGACACCACGAATGAAAATGATAGGCACAGGCAATATCATTCAAATTGTCCACAGGAAGCCACATAAACTAGTTAAATATGTAAACATTTCAATCTTACGTACGTGTTTAGTTAAGTTCAACAACTTTGTTCCCCAATATTATGATCATTGGTCTATAATATAAAAACCATGGATTGACTTCCAAAGCACACAATTAACCTTGCCACCTATATCAAGAAACAAATTGCCAAGTATAGAACGGGGGCATGGTACACACAAGCCAGAGCAGCGCACTGTACTATACGATAGGAGAACACCAAAAGCTAAAAAAATAAAATTAAACACTTAGTACTTCTCTCAGCATCACAATCTACATCGTTAAAAGTGTTTGGCTGATATATAAAACACCAAAAGTCATGCCGTAATTTGTGGCAGACTCCAACTTAAGTTATGTTGTAAAACTTTTTTATTTTCTTGTTTAATGTGTGAGTCAGTTTGTGATTTGATGAGAAGATTCCTCACATCAGGAGCCAGTAAAATAACGTTTAATGATGGTGGATCTCTATCCAAATCATCAAATGGAATCAAAGAGTGCGCATTCAGTCATTCCACGAAACCAAACCGCTCAGATCAATCCTTTTTCATGGCATATGAATCCATAAAAAACTTAAAGTTCATCAAAAGACCCCACTAATCCACCTTGTTAATCTCTTTGTTACTAAATAAAAGATGATCTTAAAAGATTTCATTATGAAAAGGGAAAAATGAAGAGCGCACCAAGGCCACCAACACACCACTTTATGGAAAATTTTATAATGCCTAGGCGAAAAAGATAGAAGAAAGAAAATTCACTAGCTAGATACATGAAGCCTCAAACACACCTGCCAGAATGTGTAGTAGCCTCTCCTGTCATGTGCATAGATGAAGAACTCTTTCTCCACCCCAGAAGGCCAAAACTTAGATGGAAACTTGAGGAAGATTTTTGTATATACCATTACATCACATTTCTCTATGGCTTCTGTCTTCCACCTCTGTTTCAGACACGGAAAAAGTCAATATATAAGAGAAATACACCACAACGCCAATGAAATAATAAGGAAATGACTACATGACCGTTTTTCTGTTACAGCATTTCACAATCTCGAACTAAATTTTAGGCCATTAATCACTAAAATAATGAAACTTATAATTCAGACTCCTATTTCTCAATCTGAAAATGACATTATGTGAAATTCTCATGTACTATAGTGAGATAGCTGTACCTATCTCACAGATTTATGGGTCCACAGGGCAGGCCAGAATGCCTGCAAGTTTACCAACAAGATAATATTTAGCTTTTGAGAGTGGTCCAATTATTAATACTAGTTCGTTGCACCCACCAAAATTTCTTTTCCCTCATATCATAAATCTATATGAACTTTAAAGTTAATACATTTTCTATGTGGTGATGGACTGCAATGATCATTAATTAAAATCAGCCGTATAAGGTAGTCATGGCTATTCTTTCAGGTTGTGGGTTGCTAAAAGGCCAGACAAAACTTTGAAAAAACCACAGAAAGCTGCTGAATGCACGTTGACACAACCGTGACTGCTATTTAGAACTCCGTATTTGATTAACTCATACTTGGTAGTTCACTTGTAAGATCTGAAAGACTTAGGAATCAAATGTCAGAAACTATGCAAGTCCACAGCAGAGGGCAGCTTAGCCAGGGACTTAGCCTATTGTGGACCATGTATCCTAGCAGTAATAATACTATCAGTGGTTATTTCCATAAGTTGGGTGGTACTATACATACAACTATAGATGTAAAGCATTATATACTTCCTACCACAACAACAATGTCAAAGCCTTAATCCCAATAGGATGGTACCGGTTGCATGAAGCCATGAACCGAAGATGCATTATAAATTGAAGCCATGAACCGAAGATGTATAAAATAAACCGTACATGTTCATTAGAATCACATTGGAGGCAAACATATAAGATCTCGGAAAAAACATGAATTACATAACACATCCTGTGGTTCACCAATGTGCAATACATGGAGTACATATGCATAAAATCAGAGTACAATACAGAGTATGGAGTATACTATACGTGTACACAAGAATAGAGAGGATACGTACAGGTAAAGGAGGCCGAAAAGAAATAAGATCACTTTGGAGTACGCCAATGCTAACAGACAAAACTACGTAACTAGCCTCGTAGATGGAACCATCCTCCGTTTTTACCGTAATGCCGCTCCTCGAGTTTTGAATTTCTCGAACAACCTGCCCATAAGCCATATACGTACATGATTAATTCCAAAAAAAATAGCTTGATTAAGATGATAAGAATAAAAATATTAGATTCTAGAGGACCAATTTTACCACCAAGAAAAATAAAATAATACCATCATTACATTGCACATAGAATTCAAGCGACCGCCACCACAATAATCATCACATATTCAATAGTGCAAAATTTTTTACATGATTTTTTTTTTTTTATGATTTGAGCTATTAAATTTTAAAAATGACCCCGCCTTGAGTCAGTGGAAGCTTTCCAATCAATACATCAAGTTAAAATGTTGAGTTACCTTAAAATTGCACAGTATACTAAAGAAGGTCATGTGCATCTACAATCAATCTTCTACTGTTATCAAAGTGTTGTTAGATCTTACTGTATCAAAGAGCTGGTCATAATAAGAATTTTTTTTTTAAATGCGACAATACTCAACCACGGTGCAATGAACGTTAACCCTTAGAATCAAACGTATTACTGTTCTAAGCTTCTAACGAGTGTTCCCTAAGGTAGTGTATTGCAATCTCATACTCGTTTAAATCAAAACATAACCTTAAACCAAGTTATTAAAAAAAAACAGAGGATTCATTGACTTGCATGGTTTTAAGTCTGATTTGACATTTCATTATATTAATAGGTAGCTAGTATTGTAACCTTTTGCAAATTGCAACATACAAATATGGGCACAGTATAAAGGTAGTGCAAGATATGTGGGACCCATGATGCAAATAACAACTGAGGAGAGTCAAGAAGAAAATCATCACAATTCATTACTGTATGATTAGGAATCATAATATGGATAGGTCAAACAAGGCTCTGTTTGATTGGGTCATGAAAATAGGAAAAAGGAGGAATTATATTGATTCATTGCACAATTTGATGTGCGCATGTGCAAATCTGCAAAATTAAATGATGGTCAAGACTCAAACACACCACCAACCCAGCTAGCTAACTACAGCCAAGCCTACATCAACACATTTCATTTTCAGATATCAAATCAGATCTTCTAACCCATGCATTAACATAATAATGACGAAAATCAATATCATAGATTTTGGAATGGTAATCAAGATATACTTTGGATCGGATTGAATTTCATCTATGTCATTGTTTTTTCATAGCTCTTTCTACATTACGAGAAAAAAAAAATATGACTCATACAAACTACATAAACAAGATGAGCTTCAATTACCGAATAAGACAAGCTAAGTTGTCGTTTTTTTTTTTAACTATTCTTACTAATAAAGACATAATTAGCAAAGATCCGTCACAAAATCATATTGATTATCATATTACCCTCATTGTCATTGTCGTTGTCGTTGTCGTTGTCATCATCATCATTTGTGTCATTATCATAATTGGCTTATCTATTTGCTAATTTAAGTCAAAACCAGAGGCAATTCTAAACAAAAATGATACGTATTACAATTTGAAAGCTAAAGGATGCTGCATGACACAATTTAGATTGAGATAACAGGCATATAAAATTGGATCATATGATACATACAGCTTAAAACAACAAACCTATAACTGCTCATTGAATTGATCACTTTCCCCATTTATGAAAGAAACAAAAAAAGAGATAACCAACAAAAACACAACTTCAACAAAGGTATCATTATCATACAACGTCTCCCAGCTAAGAATTGAAACGTGCAAAAGTACACTACTTTCACTATATCATCTTTATTCTTGTTGAAACAAATCAACCAAATTTGTTTTAAGTTTATTTGCGAACATAGATTAAAAAATTCAAGGTAAATCATATTATACTAACACCGTGTTAAATATTAAAAACAATCATTTTGTATGACTTTTAGTTAACGAATTCGTTACTTAAATCAAACAATAAATAATTACCGTATTGAGTTTGAGCCGATTATCCAGTATCTCGCCATCAAAAGTCAACAGAAACGTTTCAGCCAATTTGTATAACAAATGCTCGTACCCTCTTTCATCAGCAACTAGATATTCCCTTTCTCCAAAATCAATAAATGTTGATATTGGTTCCACCTCTGCAATTAACAACACCCCATATTATATTAACCTCACTTTTCCTCAATCAATTATGCTAAATATCATTAAAATAAGCTACCTTTATTTTACCTTGAATTCGTGAAATCATAATTAAGTTCAATTTGTCATATCAAAATAATAAAGTGGTGCACAATAAAAAGATGAGATGTGGTTGTATAATTACTAATAGAGCATCTCCTACACCAGTCACATATGTTATTACACTCGAGTGTAGTATGAATGCATACGGTATGATTAAAAAAACATTCTATTCATGGTCATATTTTGCACATTTTAAAGCTTTTCAAATAGAATCCGTGTTTACAATATGTCCCCGTGCACAATAGACATTGTGTCTACTTGCACAATATTACAATTTACAACCCCAAAGAATAGGGTTGGAGTTTCCGTATGTCCCGGTGCACAATAGAAATCATGTGATTCATGTCTACTTGCACAATATTATTAAAACCCTAAAGAATAGCCTTGGAGTTTCATTATATCCCGTTGCACAATAGAAATCGTGTCTACTTGCACAATATTACAATTTACCCCAAAGTTAGAATAAAAATAAAAGTAAATAAAATACGAGTAAATATATAACTCACCGGCCATTTCAAAATCATGGAGGATAAAATCAATTGCCAATTCAATAGGTGTTTTCGGCAAACTGCAAATTTACAGGATTAGATATTTGAAAGAAAAAAAATTAATATAATTCCGAAATTACTCCAAAATTACTACTCCGTATATATAACAAAATAATATGCGCAAAAATTAATTAAATTAAAAAAAAAAAAAAAAAGTTTTACTCCGAAATTACTTGGGAGGCTCTTTGGTGTTATCAACTTCATCCTTGAGTTGCTGAATTGCCGAGTCAACCGCTTTTTTATACAAATCAGCTGCAAATTTACTCGGAAATATCTTTCCACTGCCAAATTTTCAAACATACCACAAAATTCTTAAAAATTCTATGAATTTCATCTCTAAATTTCTTTCTATTTTAATAATTTAAAGTAAAATTAAAGAGAGAAAAATCGAACCCTCGGTCATATATATTATAGCGAGCGTTACTATAATCAGAGAAGCAAGTACGTAACCCGGCCCGATTAGCAAGTTCCCAAACCGGGTTGGACTGTTTACCGCCGACGCCGGCGATCCAACCGGCGCCGAGTTCGACCGGAACTCCGGCGAATTGCTCCTTACGAATTCGACCGCCGATTCTATCGGAAGCTTCGAGAATTATGACATCTTCTACGCCATTATCGGCGAGTTGCTTCGCCGCCGATATACCTGAGAAAAACAGAGCATTAATGGAGACATTTTTTATTATGATTTAACTTTTTTTGTTGAAAAAGGAAAATGGTGGTTTTACCGGAGATTCCAGCGCCGATAATAATGACTGAACAATGTTTGATGAAATCCATGAGAAAGAGAGAGACAGAAAGAGAGGTTTTAGTTTGAGATGAGAGGACGCGGGGTGTTAAAACAGCGGGAGTCTATTTATATAGATAGTTTTTTTTTTGTTTGTTTGTTTGTTTTTTTTTTTTTTTTTTTAATTTTGTTTTGGAAGGTACTCCGTAATTAACAGATTTGGAGGGCCTACTTCCAAAATTACATATCTTACAAGTATGGACCATAAGTCCATAAGAATTAGAAGTTTGGAGTCTTGGGACAAAGTGATAAAAATGTGGATCGGGTCAGGTCGGGTCGAGCTTTAACATTAAATCTTTTGACTAAATTTATAAACAGATTAAAGGAGAATAAGAAAAAAGGGTTGGAAATAGTTGAAAAAAAAAAGGCACATGATGGGTCAACACCAAAAAATAACTAGTCAACGTTGGAGAGTAAGGGTTGGTTGTCTTACAAAATAATTTAAGTAATACTGCGTGTGTATATTACTTGAGATGAAAACTTTTCAGTAGTATAGGTTGATTTTAAAGGTGTTTATACCGTTTGATACCAAGAGTATACATGCAATAATTTGACTATTAAGTACGATTGCCAATGTTAACTATGACAATCATACCAATCGAATCTCTAACTACATATTTTTATTCTTTTTTTTTAAAAAAAAAAAGAAAAAATAAAAGGAATTCTATAAACATAACTCTAAGGGCTATGTATATGAAGTTAAAAGATGAAAATATTAATGGAATATATTCATTAATTACACAAATTTGCATAATTTTGTAATGCATATCTAAACTATTACAGTAATCAGAAAGATATTTAATGCTTATTTGTAACGCTAAAGGGCTACATATAACATTACTCTGATTTCTTAGAAATAATATATATATTGAAAGATTTGAAACTAATGTCTTGACTTTTTTTTTTATATATATATATATTGTTTGTTAGATAAAATTAGTATAAGTGGATACACTACACATTATATTCATAAATTGTTATTTCATTTTCCTCTACACGGTGATGTTTAATATAGGCCCTGATATTGTCAAGGCATAAAAAGCCATTATCAAGGCAAATTATCTACCCTTTGCCCGTAATCTTTGAGTATCCAAATATATCAAACTTATTAATTCAATAAAATACTTTGTCATATTTTGTTGCCTATAATATTAGTAGCTAAATATTCCAACTAAAATCTTTCCAACTCCAACTACTAATTATTCACGTCAAAAAATGCATAATTAAATTATTCACCATCATAGACTCATCCATATAATCCTCTTACAATCACTAAATGTAACATTTTATTGGGAGAGATATCATTATCAAAGCTTTACAGGTATTAGCTACCTCTAAATTTGTTTATTAATTAATTTCATTTAATTATCAAGTCTTAATTTGTTTGTAATTGACTATTAGTAAAGGTGTTTTCATGTCAACTTAAAAAATATTGATGTTTTACCTTTATTATTAAATTTGCCATTAAACAAATTTCATATTTACTTTTTAGGTGTAAGAAAATAAAGATTAATAATTTATTTTTTTTATAAAAAATAGCACTATGTCTGTATACGTGGGATACTTCAATTCTCAAACTCTTAAAATCTAGTTGTTGGACATTTTTAAGAATTTGTTTAGAAAACTTGTAAAGTAGACAAAGAGATTTAAATATTGCATCTTAATTATTTACCTATTTCTTTGGCAGATTATGGATAATCATATAGTGATGGAAGAAGAGGTGCATGTTATCATGTTATGTTTAAGTACACAATATCAAACTCGTGAAGCGCTCCTTGAAGATGTATCAAACGTATTGGAGTTAAATTAATAAGATTTTAATTAGAATATTTAACTACTAATATTATAGGCAACAAAATATTATAAAGTATTTTATTGAATTAATAAGTTTGACATGTTTAGATTCTCAAAGATTACGGGCAATGGGTAGATAATTTGTCTTGAAAGTGGCTTTTTTGCCTTGGTAATATCAGCACCCTTGATATATTGATGTTTTTTTTTATCGATGTGTACTCTTGGATCTTAATATATTTAGTATTTTTTTTGTTGGGGATATTTGTTTATTATCCTTTGAAAAATGCTTAATTGACACGTACCGACTTTAATTTTAGTGCTCGATTTTTAAAATCAATACAAAAAACACACTTGACATTTACTCCTATAATTTTATTTGATAATCTAGCATGTACAAATACGAAAAAAAAAATTAAAAATCTTAAAAAAGCCAAACTAAGCGTAACAAAATTCCCCTTCTTTATGTAATAATCTTATTAATCATATTCCACTAATAACACAAATCCACACAACACGTATTCTCATCATAATAAAATTATCTTTGTTTATTGCTTCACTTTATTAAATTCTTCTGTTCAACAAAGGAAAGAACAATGAGTATAAATATATGTAAGTTTAACATAGCAAATAAATGCACCAACGATTTCATGTGCAATAAGCCACTAATCCTAAAATTAATAACAATCCACAAGTACACGGCACACTTGATAATTTAATTTTAAAATTCTAAACATGCACTAATCACTTCTTTAATTATTAATTGATTATTTAATTCTAAAAAAAATTGACACGTTAATTAATTATGCATAAACCATCATGAAAACATGGTTATATTCAAACAACCAAAATTATTAATCATAATGCATAGCTTTTTGGCAATATTAGCGTTGAGGGTAGAGGGGGTGGAGCAATGTAGTTTAGACAAATGGCAATGATGTGATTATTGTCAATTGTGATTGCAAATCCACCACAATTAATATAACTAAGGTGGCTAATTATAAAGGGGGAAAATGACCAATCCAAAAATTAGTTACAATCAAAAGTGTAGTGAATGGTCCCCATTCGTTAATCAATAATCAAACCATTTTAATTTTTTGATTGGAGATTTATTAATTAATTGGCATATTTAATTAACTAATCACTAATCACTAATCAATATACTATCTTTGCCCATCTCTTTAAATTTGTCTCATTTTATTTTTAGTTAACACCTATGATTTTCACAATCTCTCTCGACCAACTATTCATGGTTGACTGATTGATATGATCATAGTAAAAATGTTCCCTAAAATAACAATAAAAAAAATAAATAATGTACTTATAATGGAGTTGGAGTTTTCCATTTTTGTTTTGGTCAATAATAAAATGATGCCGACCCTATTTAGTTTGTGAGGATGATTGGAAATTTGTCCATAGATGATTCTGCTAATTTTATTACTTCTTAATCTGATAGGATGGTTTTAATTCAAATGAAATAATTAAAGTTACTAGACCATCCACTTTTTTTAAGAACCATTGAACATAATTACAATTATAGGGGTTTGTTGACAAGAAACTCAAATGCGAGTTTATCTCATATAGGAGACACGAAGAATATAACAAATATATTACCTTCGTTTCACAATAAATAGGATGTTTTAACTTGTATAATATTTATCAGTGGAGTACTATAATTTTTACGTTATATATATGTAAAGTATTACTCCGTATTAGATTGGTCTTAAAATATATTTAAAAAATATAATTTTTTTTTTCTTTTTATCAATTACTCCGTATTATATACTCCGTTCAAAAATTCATGGTCAATTAAATTGGTGAATTAGAAAGTGTAAAAGTCAAAACATACAATGCATCTATTGTGGATCGGAATAGATCGAGGTATGTAGTATATTTTTATTCGGTGAGAATATCGAGGTAAATGTCTATACATAAGAGGACAAAGTGATAAACTGATAATTTCAAATGGTTTGATAAAATTGGCTTAAAATAATACTAACTATCATCGGTGTGTGCAAAATAACATGAACTTTACTGTTTGCTATTAGCAGTACCACCTTTTGTACTATATGCGTCGATTACCGGAAAAGTATCGCAAGGAATATTCCGTCTATATTTATTATAATTGTTTATTTTTGTTATTAATTTTCTGTTTTCTTTTCAAAATACATATTATGTTAATAATTTCCTTTATAGTACAATCCAAATTAATAGTTTTAAATATTTTTGTTTCAAAATACCTGTAGTAATTTTTACTACCACACAATAGTAAATAGGGTATTTAAATGCATTATTATTTTGATATAAATAGTTTTAATTTTTTAAAAAAAAATCCAAAAATTTCCCACATTATTTGGGTTGGTGAATTTGGGGATTGGGTTTTTGAAACTAATTATATCAATATAATAATGCATTTAAATACCCTATATACTATTGTGTGATAGTAGAAATTACTACAGGTATTTTGAAAAAAAAAAAATGTTAAACACATATTGACAATTGGAAAAAAAAAATAAAAAAAAAAATAAAGCCTAAAAAAGGGAAGGAGAATTGTTAACATAACATTATATTTTGAAAAGAAAACATAAAATTGATTAATAAAAATAAAATAATGATAAATATAGATTAAATATTTCTCGAAATACTTTTTCGGTGACCGGCGTACTAATTTACGCATATAGTACAAAAGGTGGTATCGTAATAGCAAATAGTTGAGTTCGTATTATTTTGCACACATCGTGAATAGTTAGTATTATTTTAAGCCAATTTTCCTAAAAGTATTTATAAGGATTACAATTTTATTTCTTTTCCTTTTGCTTACCACTATGTAGGAATATAATATGGAGTATATATTGTTAAAGTATATGTTGTCTCATTAGTAATATTATACCTCGTGATAATGGTATAATTTTTATGCATGATCTGTATATTTATTTTGTATCATAGTTCATCATATACAAAGTATACAATAATGATATTTACAATTTAACATCCTATTTACTTTAAACTAAAATACGTAGGCCCTAGTGATTAGGACTTCTCTAAGATACTCCTCTTATTAGTTATTATACTTATGAAGTATGATGGAACCCTTAACTTTTATTTTTATTTTTTTAATGGTAAGAAGAATTGAAGGGGGGAGATAAGGGAATCAGTGAAATCTATCAAATGAGTCCCATGAACCCTTATATGCTTTTATGCTTGTATGAGGTTTGGCTTTTATATGACGTATACGGTATACCTGCATATTTGTTTAAACTCGTTGAAGCTAAGACTTATCATACACACTGACCCACTGTGTAGTTACGAAGTATTTTAGTAATGGCTATGAATTCATTAGATATGTATGTCATTTGTGTAAGTAATAATATGCACAATTGCACAAACAAACCCATATAATTTTGTACTCGCACCAAATTAAACTAGCATTTAACATTTCTAAAATTCTAAGTAATTTGAGACATATAATAATAATAATAATAATAATAATAATAATAATAATAATAATAATAATAATAATAATAATAATAATAATAATAATAATAATAATGCTATTGCATTGCTGAAACGGGTTCAGGCATTCGTTAGCACTCAGGATATTGGTGCTCGTGCGGCTGCTCACATCTTCAACAGGATTGGGTTCGCTATAGCTAGAGGGATGGGGGCCCAGATTGTATCTCGGCTCCCAACTAATTTCTTGTAAATCGTTTGACTTTGTAGGTTTTTGATAATTATAATAATAATAATAAAAATAAATAAATAAATAAATAATAAAAAAAATTATAGTTAACTTTAATGGTGTAGTAGAAATGAAAGAGGCCCCCACATTAAGGAGGTTTTGGCCAATATAATGGAAGCAATTGATTAAGAAGACCGTTTATATTGACGCAGTAACGAAGTGAAGGCAAGTACTTA